ATTTAAAACCATTTGAATGTGTAAATGTAGTTTTTTCTGCACATGTTCTAACAAAGTAAATGATCTATGATGAATGTATGTCAAATAAAGCCCTCACCTATTAGTCCGGTCATTTATTGGGAATCTGTCATTGAGGGGAAGTCAAACCTCATCCACCTATTTATATCTTTACTGAGAACTTAGCTGAGCAGATATTGAGCAAATATACGTCCAGCTTGAAAATGAGTCAAATGGAAAGTATCTCAAATATTGATCCACAAATCACAAAAGTGATTTCAGCTGAATTCTGCACCTTTTATCAGGTTCAAGTTCATCTGTGTTGTTCACTGTGTTGGCTCATGATGTAACTGACCCATAAACATGGTTAATTTAGGACATTAAGACAGTTTTGTTCTTCCTCAATTCAATTGTATTTCATAGAAAAACATATACTTGAACATCATTAAATCCAAACACAGGTTTAACCTCTTTTTCCATGTGTGTGTAAAACATGTTTGGTTGCAGCCTTCAGTGTGAAGCTTGTTCAAATGTGTTTGTTTGTCATCTTACAAACTTTGTTCAGTGTCTGAAATTGTGAAATACACTTCAACCACCATCGTCCTCAGTTTGTTGACGACGTTGCGTCTTATTTTTTTATTTCAAAACATTTTTGTTGCTGTGACGAAAGCAGAAGTCAGAATTTCATCATATGGTCACTTTCCCAGATATATTTAAAAGTTTGCATTTTAAGCAGCAATGATCATTCAGAGCATCTAGAGTTAGAGGAAGGTTCCTGAAAAGACTCAATTAATGGATCAATTATCTTCTGACTTCAATGAAAGCTGTCGCTACCTCCACACACACACACACACACACACACACACACACACACACACACACACACACACACACACACACACTCCTGTCTCCTTCATTTATCACTAATCGTTATCTTAACAATATCAATGTATAATTAAAGGCGCCCACTTACACTCTAAACTTTCACTCAATGGAAAAGGTTCTGTAGTCTCACTGGTACCTAGTTTAGAAGTTACTCCTCGCTCAAAGTCCTGAGTTGCCTCATGAATATTATTACTAGGTACACCAAGTACACTGTTGCTCACTGAACCAGTCCTTTGAGCCCTAAGCAGTATTCAGTATATCATCTCTATCAGGACAGATGCAGTCAGGTCTTCTCTCACTGGACCGTTCAAATCAGAATACTGGTAACTGTATTCCTGAAGGTATGAATACTTAGTAAAGACCACGTTACATCCTGTCTTACTTGTGTGAAAAGCAGGAAGTGTAGACGAGCTGAACTGAGAAGAGGAAGATTGAGAAACACTCAGCAGCATTGATGTGAAGTGTCCGTTGTGTCTGTCTCCAGTCGTCGGTGTCTCCTCTGCACCGTGAAGCTTCGTCTCTGCACAGAGCAGAGCAGTGAGGATGGGACGGACTTTGCTCTGTGTGCTTCGGTTGTTCTGTGAGTACTCACTCAGTTTTTTTTACTGTGTTTTGGATCTTTTCTGTCAAGGTTTGATCATTTTCAAATTTCACTTCAGTGCTGAACARATTCCTCRGCTGTGGACATGCTGAAGGTGATTTTACATTCTTCCTCTCTTTGTTTTATTCATTCAAGATGAATCTTTCATTGAAGTCACTCACACGTCCTCTGTCCTTGTTGTGGCTTCTAGACGCTGTGTTGACCATTGAGCCACAGTGGTCCCCTCTATTCGCCAGAGAGTCTGTTACCTTTACATGTGACATGAGGGATGGACAACACACAGACTGGTTTTACACACTCTTAAAGGATGGACATGAATTTGCCCSATACAGCASAYMYAGAAGCTYSAAAATAKAACTAARTACAGKCSACAGTGGTAAATATCAGTGCGCTGGTCAACGAAGACAGTCTGAGATTGAGAAGAAGAGTAATGAGCTCTCTCTAACTGTATCAGGTAAGTGACACAGCTCACTGGTAACACTAATGCACTGATATAATGGATATTGTAGTAATATCTTCATTTGTACTTTAAGACTTTGTCCAGCTCTACTAATTCTGCCTAAACAAACATTTACATAATGATAAAAAAGCTTCAAAAGAAATAAATGATTTTTATCTTTTACAAAACTCCTTAATAACCCACTGGAGGAAAATACTCTGTAAATGCTCCTTCACAGTTGTGTCAGATATTTAAAGACAGAGAAACTGGGATACAAGCAACAAGAAATCATGTTTTCATTCTGTGAAAATTACTTTCCTGCAGAGAKACCCAMACCAGATCTTACTGTGACTACATCATGGCCGAGTCCTGGAGCCTCAGTAACTCTGAGCTGCAGCTTCAAATATCCATCTGCAGGTTGGAGGTTCCTCTGGTTCAAGTTCGTTTACACAGGACCAGAAAAATGGTCCTACGATTATGAGTTTCTACCTGGAAGCACCAATGGAACCATCATCGTTTACGATCAGACATACACAGGATACTTCTGCAGGGCTGAAAGAGGACACCCAGTCTATCAGTCGTTGAGCAGTGACCCTAAGTTTGTCTGGTCCAGAGGTCAGTCTGCTTTTTATTCTGTTTCCTCTTCACCTTCATTCATTCAGTTTGTCTCTGACCAACATTTCTTCAATCAGGAGAGACTTCAATTAAAAAATAGATTTTATTTTAGGTGGGGGGATCATGAGCTATACTTCAGCAAGCCACTAGGGGGCGATTGAGACACTTTGGCTTCACTGTCAGGGAGCTGTCATGTGTCTTTAAATATCATCTCTATGTTCAGTGCAGGGTTTGCATCACCCTCTCTGATGCTTTTCATTTCTACGTTTGAACAGAATTATTGTGCACTGCTCTTTATCTCTCGAGCTGTGAACATCTATTCTGTTTGGTTTTCCAGATCTTCATTCAGCACCATCTCTCACAGTGAATCCTGAC